TATTATTCAAACATGTGTGTTTAAAATTAGGTCACTACCTACATAATTTTATTTTTAAATTATTCATATACTTTTCCCTCTCCCCTTAATTACTTTCTCTGGTATTTTCTCAATTGTTCTGCTTTCTTTTCAGTTTTCTTTAAATTTGTATAACTTTTAAATTTACTTTTCATATCTCTATGTATGTATGTTTTGTAGAGGGATGGATGAAAGAAAGAAGAAAAGAAGGAGTTAAAAGGAGAAAGGGAAGAAATGGAAGACAAAAAAGAAGGAAGAGAGGAAATGGTTAGGAGGCAAGATGGAAGGTGGAAGGAGGGAACCAAAGAGGAAGGATTTGGAGGGGAAAAGGTGAGAGGAAGGAAGGAAGGAAGAAAGGAAGGAAGGAAGCAAGCAAGCAAGGAAGAAAGGAAGGAAGGAAAGAAGGAAGGAAGGGTTCATGTAAAACACAATGCTTGCATTTTTAACATGGTATCCTTGTCTTTTGCTTGCCTATGTTTTACACATTTTTGGCACCATAGAACATTGAGTATCATAGAAATAAATCAACAAATGTTTAGTCAACAAGACAATATATTTGAGAAAAAAGTGATTATACTAGCAAACGGTAAGTAAAGCAATGAAAATGGAAAGCGTGAGAGAAAAAGAGTTACAGAAAATTCTTTGTGAATGAAATTAATATGAGTAATAGAAAAGAGTTTTGAAATATCTGAAGTATAGAACCTAAAGTTGTTCCTTCAATTTAATAAAGAAAATGTGGTAATCTTAATTAGAAAAATGGTCAAGAGAAAATATGTATGTTGAGAGACACTCAAATATATAAATAATATGAGAAAAGAAAAGAAAAGCAGTTGTTTACTATTTTGCATCTATATGTTAAAGGAAAAAACTAGATTATCAGAAAAAAATTTGGGAATTACCAAGAATTGAGGAAGTTATAGCATGGTGTCCTGGGAAAAATATAGACTCTCCCCACATTCTTAAAGCCTATTGATTCTTAGTCACAATTAATATAAGCATAATATATGATTCACAGGATGTCCTTAAAGTGGTTTTCAATTATATGTACCAGAAGCAAGCATATGTGTTGCAAAGAAGCGTTATTTATACAGAGTTTGGGGTAATTTGAATATATACCTAAAGGGTAGAATGGATGAGCAGAAATAACTAATAAAATCTGTGTTATACTCTCTGTGGTTGGAAGTAGCAGATTAGTCATACACAGCACCAAGTAAGAAAAATGTCAGGGCTGGGAGGGTGGCTCAGTGGTAGAGCACTTGCCTTGCATGCTCGAGGCCCTGGGTTCAATTCCTAAGCACCACATAAGAAAAAAGCCAGAAGTGGCGCTGTGGCTCAAGTGGTAGAGCACTAGCCTTGAGCTGAAGAGCTGAGGGACAGCGCCCAGGCCCAGAGTTCAGGCCCCAAGACCGGACCCCCCCAAAAAAAAAAGAAAGAAAAATGTCATGCTGACTGACAGAAAGTAAAAAATAAATTATAATATATAAAGAAATACTAATTATATATACAAAAGGCATGTGTACATATAACAACTATATGTAAAAGAAAATATGCGATCCACAATAAAATGGTTTCCTCTGGAGATAGTGTTGAGGATGCAAACTAGGTTTCAGTGATAAAAGTAAAGACAGAAAAAAAAAGTAAAGACAGAATTAAAGAATGGGACATGAAAAAAATTAGAAGATCTTACACAGATCAGTGATAATTTTGTACCGAAAAGAAAGAAACAATTCAACTGTATGATTTTCAAAAGTAGAGAAAACAGATTTTATATATATATATATATATATATATATATATATGTGTGTGTGTGTGTGTGTGTGTGTGTGTGTGTGTGTATACTACTTACAATATAGGTATATATTCATATATATATATATATATATATAAACTACTTTCAATTGAGGAAGCTTTTCCATGTAAAAAGTTGTTTCTATAATGTTCTTATGTGTTTCAAAAGCAGTATAAAATAATTTGATTCAATCTCAGCTTTTAAGAAAGCTTTTGTGGAATTACTGAAAGGAGTAAGCTGGTCTAAGTCAGGTATTCAAAGGCTTCACAGGAGAGCGAGGACACACAGAACAGAGGGTATGACAGCATCTTATAACAGCATGGCAAAGCCCTGCTTTGTAGTGAGGGAAATAAAAATCAAAACTTCCTAATATCTCCTAGCTTGAAATTACATGTCTGAGGCTGAGTTTTTAAGTAATCAATCTTAACTATATTTCACTGTTTATTTTAGCTTTTAAAAATAAATCTTAACTATTAATAAATTTATGATAATTGAGGTTTTTATAAAGAAGAGAATATGGGGAGGGCTTCTTTTCTTATGTTGATCTCTGTGCATTTTCATTGTACAATGGGGTTTCACTTTGATACATACATATGTGTATATAAGGTACTTTGATCAAATTCATCCCCTCTGGTACTCTTTGTTATAAGGAGTAATTTCACAGAATGTACTTGATTCAAAATTCCAGAGAGAATGTGGGAATTCTAACAGGCCAGATGTGATAGCAGAGGCTTGTAAGAGTGATCAGAAAATTAAATGATACACGTGAGGATACTTTAAATACTTTAAATGAAAATCTAAATCACTAATATACTGTGGGTAATAGTGAGTGAAGGAAACACTATATTTTCCAAAAAATTTTTAAGGTCAGCTGATCTTACATGGGCAGAAGGAAGGGTGGTGTTAGACATGTAAATTCTATAGTTATAAAATTTCTAGCAATACAGAAAGTTTCAGACAGAAGAGTATACAGAAGAGAAGTGAATACAACTTGACAAATAGGGCAATTATGTATTCAAATGTGATAACTTATGCCTTTTGGGGTTTAAAAATCTATGATCTTAAAAAGTAAATAGGAAATTAACATAATTTTTAAAGTCCAAATATTTAAAAAAATGGGAGGATAAAAATTGAAAAAAATGCATATTTTAGTTATGGTAAACAATGCTGCAAAAAGCATGGTAGTGCTGGTAGCTTTAGTTTGGCCTGGTTTGTGATCAGTTGGATAAATGCCCAGGAATATGATTGCTGGCCAATAGAGAAGCTCTACATTTAGCTTCTTGAGAAATCTCCATACTGCTTTCCACAGTGGTTTACATTTCCATCAACAATGTACAGCAGATGATGGTGCGGATGTTGAAAATGAACTATACAATTTGTTGGGGCAGGAAGTCAGGAGGGAAAAAAAACTGGTAGATAACAAGGGGAGAGGTGACACTCTCAAACTAAACACACTCAATACCTGACTAATGTAACTGCAACCCCTCCCCTCTGTATATTAACTTTCCAATATTATTTTTTAAAAAGTAAAAAAAAAATCTTCGAAGTCAACTGAACCTAATTTAGGTTAACATAAAACATTAATGCCAGAGTACAAGAATACCTTGCTAACTGGAGAGTAGGCTGCCTAGTACAAAGTAAAGAAATGAGAGTTAGAAGATTCACACAATCAATAATAATTGTCTACATGTTCAGAAGTTAAAATGTGTCAATTATTCAGGAGAAAGATTGTTAATAAAGTATAAATTAAAAAGGAAATATATAAGCAACCAAAACAACTCCATAAGAAAAGTGAGAGTAAATAGGAAAATAAAAATAACAATTACATGACATTACATAAAAAAGGTCATAAAAGCAGTATTTATGGAAGATTATATGTATATACCCATAAAACACAAGAGATCAACTTACAGAAAATAGACTGAACTCAGGAATGCAGCAAAGTCAGATTTATAGAATTCAGTAAGTATAGAACAGAAAGAAATAAGAAAACATGAAGAAACAAGGAAAATTTCAAGGACAAAAGAACAGGCAACCTGGGCTTAAGATAACTTAAGTATGATGCCTAAAACTATTTTAGTTTTTATATCCCACAATGACTAACCACAGGCATTGCATTCAATAAAGAAAACTCATTTTAAAAGAGAGATCAGTGGGAGCTTGGAATGAGTCTTAGTGGTAGAGGGCTTGCCTTGCATATTTGAGGCCTTTGGTTTGATTCTTCAGTACCACATAAACAAAAAGTAACAGCAAAATTTAAAAAAAAATACTAAAAGAGTGATGGAATGAATGATGATGGGAAAGTTCTGAGGAAACCAGTGACAAGAATTCATACTATTTTTGCCACTTATTTTGAGGAAGAAATTGCTGTATTTAACATGGCTATTAAAAAAAGAAGAAGAAAAATGAAGCTCAAGAGGCTGCATGGGGCTTGCCTGGGTTACATATACAACAAACGCTGACTATAGAAAACAAATTCAAATATCAGGTGTGAAAGCCTTTGTTTGCTTTATCTACAATGAAATACCACCAAAGAATCAGCCGGACATGAAATTGGCAGGGAGAAAATGAACTCAACCAGAGCAAAAAGATGCTTCCAAGAGTAATAGACAATTAGACATGAGACTTAGTGTCAAAAATTTGATATTTCTAAAATTCATTCTTATGCCTTCTTAAGAAACAAATTAAATATTTTATAGCATGCAAAAATAAACTTGAAGACAGTAATAGTAAAACAATATTTAAGATAAATAATGTGATTCCAAAAATGTAGTGTATTACAAAAGCAATGATTGCTTAAGACTTTTACTCCAGATTTTGAAGTAGCTCTAAAATAAAATGATTCCTTATTAAGGAATTATTTTCTGAGTTTTTTTCCCATCATCTAGTCTTAAAAAAGCAAGTAATGCAAGTGGGGCACCCATGGCTCCTGTGTTTAACCACAGCTACTCAGATTTTACAGTATTGGTTTGAGGCCAGCTCAGGCAGACTAATTTCCATGGAGAATTTTTTCTCCTATTAACCAGCAGACAACAAAAGTAGAGATGTGCTTCAAGTAGCAGCGTACTAACAGTGAGCTAAAATGTCAAATGAATGTGCAAGGCCCAAATTTCAACCCCTAGTATCAGCACATGCTGCACACACACACACACACACACACACACACACAGAGTAATGTAAGTCTTCTCCTTACCAACACTGGTGCAGCTTTTACCGTCCACATCCAGCCTCCACCCTTCATAGCAGGAGCACTTGACAGTGAGTTTGTGCTGCTCACACACTTGACTGCACTTAAGATGACTGCTACAATAATCTACAATCTCACATGTTTTATTGTCTTTCTTGAGTTGAAGTCCCTCTGGGCAAGAACAGACAATTCCTCTTCCAGGGACAACAGAGCAGTGGTTGCTACAGCCTCCATTGTTTAGCGAGCATTCATCTATAATACAGGACAGATGATGAGTTACATCAGAATTTTTCCCATTCACACAATCCTCATTGAACTCAAGTCCATAATCTTGGAAGTACAATCAGGATATTATGAATTAATTTAAGAAAATCTTCCCTGTATACTTTTGGCATTGGGGTAGAAACAGTAATATTTGGGGGTAAAAACAGTAACGCTCAAGTATGTCCTAGAGTTCATAGAAATATACTCACTATAAAAATTAGGCTAAGGTTTTCCATAATCATGGTTTTTCAAAAATATTTTGGATTTGAAAACTGAAAAATTCTTCAAATTATTTGTCTTATCAAAGCATAAGAAGAGGAAAGTGATGACATATTTTTATCATCAACTCAATTCAGGATTGAAATTGTGCAATTTTATTTTTATTATAATTTTATTTTTCTCTTTAAGTAGTTATACAAAGGAATTTCCACTCAACAAAGTAGTATATGCATATGGTCAAATCTTGTTCAATATCTCTTTCATCATTTCAGATTGGTGTTATTTAAAAGAAAAGTAGTTTCAGTTCTTGGTTGCTCCCAATGTGTTCACTCAGGAGCAATCATAACAATTTCTGAGTAGCAGTCATTTCAAATTATTTGCCTCACTTTAGTTCAATTGACATACTTTTTTCAAGAAAATTACTGTAAATGAATGTCATTGTGTCCAGCAGGGAAAACATGTGTTACAATATTTTGAATTTATTTTAAAGGTAGTTATTTCAGGTTTCTTTCCCTTGCTACCCCCAATGTCTCTGATGCTATCAGTAGAAATAAGTGATTGATTTTTATTCACAATGAAATTTAAAATGCAATATAAATTTAACATTGATAGTTGCATAGTCAATCTCTTGTCAAGACTTCTTCAGCTCTATCCAAAATCCTGATTTTTTTGTTTATTATTATTATTATTATTAAGCACAGAGACTCTCCTTGACCCAACTCTGGTTAGGTGCATTTGAGGTCTAGAATAAGTTTTAAAGTTGGCTAATAAATCTGTACACACAGCAAAATGATTTCACAAACTCTCCACATGTCTACACATTTACTAAGAGATTTGGGCCAAAACATCCTATTTGAGAATTAAGGTCCACACTTTTTTTTTTCCAGTCATGTGGCTTGAACTCTAGGCTGCAGTGCTGTCCCTGTACTCTTCAGCTCAAGATGAGCGCTCTACCACTTGAACCACAGTGTCACTTCAATTTTTTTTAGTGGTTTATTGGAGATAAGAGTCTCACGGACTTTCCTGCCCAGGCTAATTTTGAACCATGATCCTCAGATCTCAGCCTCCTGAGTGTGAGCCACCACAGGCACCCAGCCAGGTCCACCCTTTTAAAAATGATCGCAGACCCCTTAAATTGCCTCCCTTCTGAAACAGCTCAGTGGTGTAAGGGGAATCTACTGCTTGTCCCAGTCCAGATCTGGTGCTAGGTATAAGTCTTAACATCCTGTCAGATCACTTAATTTTTGGATTTTTTTCCTTCTCTGAACCTTTAAAATGTAAATTTCTTATTAATCTCCAATACCAAGAGCTTTCATTTTGAAATAGGAACAGGGAAGAAGGTAGCTCTTACTTTTAGCCTGTGGAGATCTTGCTTTAAATATGACATTGAGTCTACCATAATGGTGAAGGCAGAAAAGCTTCTCATGATATTAGTTTGAAATTTTTCTAAAATTGATCTTTTCATTAGGAATAAAATATATAGGTTCCTCAATTCTATTCTTAAATATTTTTTTACACATAAACATTAAAAACAATTATGTTTTGTGATTAGCAGTTCTTTGTTTTGTTTTTGTATTTTGCCACTGGAATTCCAGGAAACTTATGGCCAATTTTTACTTTTTCTAAAAAACTTAAAAGTGTCTTAAAATTTTGTGCACAAGTATACGTGTAAACATGGTCAAAGTAATTTTATTGTAATTCATAAAAATTGTCATCATGGCTGGGCTCTGGTGGCTCATGCCTGTAATCCTAGCTACTCAGGAGTCTGAGATCTGAGGATTGTGGTTCAAAGCCAGGGAGACTTATAACAATTAAAAAATCTTTAGTTTTTTTTTATTGTTATAAGTCTGCCTCGTCTTTATTCTACCTCAGTGCAGGAGACAGCATGTTAATTCCAACAAGTAACGATGTTACATTCAGAGTAAAAAACTTCTCTTCTCCATGCCTTCACAATTGCTTTCTTGTAACATTTCCTACTCTAATCTTTTCAAATACCAGAACAAGGCTACGTCACTGAAGAATTTGGTGGCTAGTAAGGAAACCGTTGTCTTCAATTTTGAATTACACACACACACACACACACACACATACACACACACACACATACACACTGGTTTCAGAAAAAATTCCATCCTTTAAAAAAGAATCTCAAATTAGAAAGTGAAAGATAGGAAAACAAAAGTGGCTTTCCACTTTCTTTATATTTGTTTATAGTTTCTGTACTTTCTTTTCTTTTTTTGCTTACTTTATTTAAAGAATGGAGGAAAATATAAAAAACAAAATTGTTTTCATATCCATAGTGCATCAGACATTTTTATTATAGTTATCTAATATATTATCCTCACTAAAATTTTGAAATAACTCTCAGGTTAAGAAATTAATTAACACATACCCACACACACACAACCTAGTCTCAAAATTACAAACTTTCTTCTTCAAGAGTAGTGGTAGTTTCTTGTGGAATTTCCTTCATGAGCAAGTCCTAAAAGCATTCTACATAATCTTCATGAGTAAGTTCTCACCAAGCAACTCTTTAATAAAACAATGTACATGAAGAGAAGAAAGGAGGTAAAGAGAAATAACATTTTCCATTTCTTAACTGTATTTATTTTTGTATCTTAGTATACTAGATTTATTTTATTACTATTGTTTGTTGTTCATTTGTTTGGTTTTGATTCTTTTGGTCTGAGTGGTTTTCCTTACATTTATCCTTAACAAGTGAAGCCCATTCCATTTATTGTTTCAACATCATTTCATAGAATGTTAAAATTGAGAGAGGCTACGTTCTACATCCTTTTAAAAAGAATAGTATTTCTTTTTTATATTGTTCCATATACTATTATGGAACACTGAACGATTTCAGCCTACAATGTTTCTTTCCTACTTTCTCACCAACAGCCTTATCATTTCAAATCAAGCTCTCCCCAATTACAGCTGTCTCATTATATTCTTATCATCCTGTACATGCTTTTCCTTAACCCACTAGCACCACTATCAGCACGAGCTAGCAAATGAATAGTAAACATCTTGATAAATCTCTCATCTCCCCACAGAAGAAAAAAAAAATCCTGTTTGATGTTGTATGTGCTATTTGGCATAAAGGAGTTGGCTAGTAAAGGTGACATTAAAGCTTATTGCAATCATCATTTCAACCCGAAAGTTACACTAAAGAATTCATGAGAACTAACTCTTGAAAAGAAAATTGGAGTAAACTGAGCTATAATTAGAAAAGACTTTCTCTTGTAATAACAGAAATCATATCACAATTCAGAGTAATAGCAAACTCCATCCATAGATAAGACAGGCTTCGCTCTCACTTGTGACTCACAGACAACAGCAATCTGCTCATTTGTGAGGACTGCATTGACAAATCTAAATGAGTGCATGGTGTAGTTATTAAATGAGTTGGGTAGTTGGGCCTGTTTCAAATCCAACCTGGGCAGGAAAGTTCATGTGTATCGTATTTCCAATTAACCACCAAAAATCCAGAAATGGAGATATGTCTCAAGGGATAGAGCACTACCAGTCCTGAGCACAGAACTCAGGGGCAGTGCTGGGCCCTGAGTTCAAGACCTAGGATTGGTAGCCAAAAATTAAAAAAAAAAAAAAGAATTTGCCAGTCTAGTCTGGGCTTTTCTAGGTAAATATCTCCAGATATTTCCAATCACACTAAAAACATTAAGTAGACATACAGTACCTGAAAATTTGTGGCTAAGTTTCCATGTAAAAGTAAGATTAGTAGGAAATTAATGAAAGAAACAAATGCTCCGATCATGACTAATATGTAGATTCAATTGTTTTCATTTTCAGAAAGAAGCAAATGTCATTAAACATGCATTACCACACAGATCGCCTTCATCAGACCCATCAGGACAATCCCTCCACCCATTGCAAAGTTTTTCAGGCTGAAGGCAGACTGAAGTATCATTAGCACAAGGGTACTTGGGTGGGCCACACAAGAAACTGTCACAGTCTTCTTCGTCAGATTGATCTTCACAATCGATATCCCCATCACAGACCCATGCTTTGTTGATGCATCTCCCTGAAGGGAACAGAAACAGCAGGCATTCCAGTTTTGTAATCAGGTCACTCATAATGAATGGCCATTATTGTCTTCACTCAGAGGCAGAATTACTTGCCATTAGCAAGAAATCTATTTGCTGATACTTTGACAGTGTATTTTCAGGATAGCAGTTGACTACTTCCTGCCCTGGTTGTTAAATTGCTCTTAATGTTTAATCTTTACTATTTCTTTTTAGTTTTAAGTTATCCTATTAAGAAAAAAAAATGTGAAAAATGGAAAGTTAAACTACAGTACTTTCAAAGGAATCTTTAAATGCACATTTGTATATCAGCATCTTTGATAGCCATGTATTTAGAAATTCTGTTTGTGATTGTCAGAAGCCCAAATGTAGGTAAATCATTAATTTTAGCAAAAGTCCTCCTTCTATTTATATATATAATCTGGATCTCTCATACCATATGTATGTGCATGAGCCTTCAAAGAGAATGCCAAATAGATGGGCATTGGTGATTTATCCCTATAATTCTAACTATTCAGGAAGCCAAGGCTGAAATTTGGAGGACCATAGTCTGAGGGTAGCGTAGAGAAGAAAAAATGTTTTTTCAAAAGTTCACCTCAGGGGGAAAACAAAAAGCAAACAAAAAGCCAGGCACCAGTGGCTCACACCTGTAATCCTAGCTACTCAGGAGGCTGAGATCTTAGGATCTCGGTTCAAAGCCAGCCCGGGCAGGAAAGTATAATTTTAAAACTAAGGAATTGTATTAGCTATTAGCTGAATATCCACCAGTATGCAATACAAGGTATAATTAAAATAAAAATAAAAAGTATTAGATTACATTTTCTAAGTTATTTTACATATAAATGCCTTAAACTTTTTTTTAATCTAGCTATGTGATTGAACATTACATCTTTTTTTTTGGGTCCGGTCATGGGGCCTGAACTCTGGGCCTGGGCACTGTCCCTCAGCTCTTCAGCTCAAGGCTAGCGCTCTACCACTTGAGCCACAGTGCCACTTCCAGCTTTTTTTCTTATGTGGTGCTGAGGAATCGAACCCAGGGCCTCGAGCACGCAAGGCAAGCGCTCTACCACTGAGCCACCTTCCCAGCCCCTGAACATTACATCTTAGATGAACAAATACTACAGGTTTCCTTGTATAAAGGATCTTTATCATTCAGAATGCCAATAGATATCGTAATACTGAAACATAGTACAGAAATTGCAAATATCTAACAAATAAGAATGTCTGAAAATGTTTGAATCATTACCAAGTAAATCACTTTGCACTTACAAATTTTCCTTAGAAAACACAGAACATGTTAGATGATAAGCATTAGGTAGAATTCTACATATTTTCTGATTTATTCATAATGTTTCTTTCAAATTGATAACTATATATGCACAATATTATTACAGTAATCATAGGTTTTCCTATGAGCAAACAAAATAAGAATGGCCAAGTAGCAACAAAAATAGAACATGTAAACTAACAAAAAAGCCACATGCTGATATAATGCTACTAAACTCTCATGCACATACACACTACAGACATAAGGGCTGTTTTGATTTGTGTTGCCTTGAAATATACAATTTAAACACTAGTATAAAGGCAGCAATTCTAGGAACATTAAGTATTCCAAACCTCTGGAAAATATGTTTGCTTCCTCAAATAAATTCATATTATCTATTCAACTTCTCTTTTCAACCTAAAAAGTAGATGTGCCTTAGGCTAAGTATGGTGGCACATACCTGTACATTTTAGGACATAGAAGCAGGAAGATCATGGTCAGTTACCAGACAAATTAAAGCATGAAACCTTACCAGGAAACAAACTAAAGACAAAAGGGCTAAGCACATATTTCAAGTAGAACAGTAGGGCTGAGTATCAAAACCCCACCAAAAAAAAAAAAAGTATCTTTGTAAACAGCTTCACTTACTTCACACAAATTTTATCTAAATAAAAATATAATATATGCTATCATAGGACAACTTCTGATAAACTGGTAATTAATTTAAAGAATATTAGTTGCAAAGATTAATAATATTTTTTTGAGAAAATCTAACGGATTTATAAAGCATTTTTGAATACTGGTGTTTGATGGAAAGTGTTGTTACTAATTTTTCCATTTAGAGCTAATACATATTTATTTCTCTACCAATGTTTGTTTTCAGTTCATTTAGCATATATTTATTGAATGTAATGTGCTTGACTAGATACTAATGTGGAAGATGGAAGACTTTGTGGGACCATAAGTTTACAATGACACAAGTTCTACTGTAGCTCATTTAAAAAATTAAATTAAATTTAAAAAAGGGTAATCCCATATAACTATTATAGAATACTATGAAATTTCAAAGTGGTAGGAAATATGTATTACTGAAGAGTGAAAATGAGGTTTCTTAGATATTCTTTTTACAATCCTTTTGAAGACAGAAAGACAAAAGCATTTCAGAAAGTGATGGAGCTGGGCACTGGTAGATCACGCCTATAATCCTAGCTACTCAGGAGGCTGAGATCTGAGGATTGAAGTTCAAAGCCAGCCCAGGCAGGAAAGTCAGTGAGACTCTTATCTCCAATAAACCACTAGAAAACCGGAGGTAGTGTTATGGCTCAAGTAGTAAAGCGCTAGCCTTGAGCTGAAGAGTACAGGGACAGCGCTCAAGCCCAGAGTTCAAGCCCCACGACCAACCAAAAAAAGAAAAAAAGAAATTCAGGAAAAAAACCCATGAATCTATGAAATGCTTTACTTATACTCAGTATTCAATAAATATTTTAAAATTAAAAGAAAGAATAGAGAGAGTTAAGGACAAGGAAAGTGAAAGACAAATCTAAGTGATAAATGGGAAGGAGAGTTAATGAATCATGAGAGTACATCCTTTCCTTCCAAGGAAAACACCTGCAACTCTATCAGGAATTTCAGGAGAACCATAGCCCTCTTCTTTCCCCATTCACTAATAAATTATTTTACTCTACTTTCCTAAAAATATTGTCTACAGAAAGTCCATACTTAGCTCTTAATAATGGTTTTCAAAATGTTTTAAACAAATTTATTTAATTTAGAAAAAATAGGACAGGGAAAAAAATAACTGTATATTATAACCAAGTGAAAGAAGCTAATATGAAAAGTTCATACACACAATTATTTAAGAACTATGAAGCTCATTCTAGAACAAAAACAAAAATATGTATACAATTAAAAGATTTTGATTATCAGAGACAAATGGGAAAATAAAAATGAGCAAGTTAACAACAGGATTTTAGAGCATCAAGGCTATTGAACATGATGTTCGATCTGGGTACATATTTTTTATATATTTTCCACTATCCAGGGGATACTGAACAGCAGGAGTAAATCCCAGCATAAAATATAGCCTGTGTGTAAAATGACAGGCACTGATAGTGAAAAACGTGCCATTTTTGTGCAGAATACTCATAGTAAGTGAGCTGGCATAAGAGATTGCAGTAGTATATATCTGAGACAAGCAGAGAAGGTCAGATAAGATGATGTTAAGCAAAATGAACCCCAAGATAAAGACATAAGTGTTTTTTTTTCTTTCTTGCTATTGTTTCTAACATATTTGTAAGATGATTTCTTTGTTGCTTTGTATGTCGCTCCCCCATGGTATAACCCCGGTTTTCACTGTATTTGATGTTGGTATAATTTCAGGAGGGGAAGGGAAAAAATAAATTGTTTAAATAGGGATACAGGTGGACCCATTGCAAGAATGAGATGTACAAAATGCTTGAGGGGAATGGGGGGCGGAAGAGGTGAGGGGGGAGTTTAATTGTGGAAATGGGAGGGAAGGGATGGTAGGGGAAAAACAAAGGAGGAAACAACAATACTGGATAAGAAATGTACTCATTACCTTGCTCATGTGATTGTAACGTCTCTGTACAGTATTTTCACAATGAAAATGTATTAAAAAATAAAGAACCTTGTGCTTGCTGTTTAATATTGCTGTGATCTAAAAACAGCTAGAAAATAATAAAGTCTAGTAGTACTTATAGTCTTTACAATGGTTTTACTATGCAGCACTTCCCATTTTAGTCAGTTCTCAAGTGAAATGCATGTTGTAATTTACTTATTAGCCCATGAATATGGAGCATGATTTTAGTGTCTATGTGCATGACATTAGCTCATTGTCTCATGCTGGACAAACTACATGAGAATGATTTGAAGGAAGAACCATGTGGCTCTTGGTTTCACAGGTTTCAGTCCATAGTTCTTGGGTCTTGTGATTCTGGACTCATTCATTGTACAGCAGATCATCATGATAGCAGGTACATGTGACAGAGCATGCTCACCTCATGACAGCCATAAGCAGAAAGAATGCTTGTAATGTGGGCTTTCTTCTTTTCTCAGGAACCCATAAACTAGAGCCCTGGGTCTGTGGGATAGTAGGTCATCGTCATTGTTAATGCTGCCTGGTAACCTCTCACAGAGTCCAGTGTGTTTTGGCAAATTCCTAGCCATTTCTCCACTCAATCACGTTGAGAAATCAACATTGTAGGCATTTGTTTAAATCTTGAGTTTTGTGTATATAAAATGTGTATGTGTTGTGTGTGTGTGTGCATGTGTACTTGTGCATGTGTATGTGTGCTGGTACTGGACCTTGAGCTCAGGGCCTTGCCACCCTCACAGGGATTTTTTAGCTCAATCATTTTTTGCTCAAAGCTGTTGGCCTGCCACTTGAGCCACACCTCCATTTCTAGCTCTTTGTTGGTTAATTTTGAGATAAGAATCTCAAAGGTTTATCTCCCCAAGCTTGCTTCAAACTGAGATTCTCAAATCTCAGCACCAGATAAGGAAAAGCTTTTGATAAACACTCAATTGTTTTAAAATTCAAAAGACTTTTTTTGAACTTAACTTGTGGTTAGGTTTATCTTTGTTTGTTTTGGGAAGCAGTGAGGTTTGAATTCAGAACCTTGCATTTGCTAAGCAGGCACTTTAAATTTGAGCTGTGCCTCTAGCACTTTTGCTCTGGTTATTTTTGAGTTAGGGTCAGTGCCAGCCTAGAAC